GCATTGCTGGCTGAGTTCAGGGTGCGGTATTTGTATTGTAAGTTTATTATTGTGTGTTCATCTTTATATTACACGAGCAGTCTTTCTGCTTGTTTTGTTAAGTAGATGGTGTATTCACATATACAACCCGTCTTCGAAGCCTGGTATGTTGTACTGTACTTCGACTTATTTTTGGATTACATTCTTTCCTTTCTAGGACTCCCTTCGTGAAGCAAACAAAATTATAAAGCAAATTTTACGGGTTAAGGACGCCGACTTTTTCCCTTTGGTGTTGGCTGGAAATAAATGCGATTTAGAAGACGATCGACAAGTATGTCAGAAACAAATTTGTAGTTGTCGTTTTTCTCTGTTTTTGCAGTTCTTCGATTTACGACATCTTATGTTGTACTTATTTTCCCGCTCCCATCAATTATCTAGATAACATTCGACGAAGGTAAAAAAGCTGCCGAAGATCTCGGAAATATTCCCTTTATCGAAACATCTGCGAAATTAGGAGTCAACGTGGACCAAGCGTTTTATGAACTGGTAGGTGCACGATCGCTTTTTAGCTTGAGATCCATTGTGACTGAAATTGTACAGTTTCTCAACTCAATGATTTGATGTACTGTGCACTGTACTGAATTTCTGTATGTCTTCGCTACACCATCAGTGTTGTGTCGGAAATTAAATGTGCATTATCCTTTGCTTGGCGGATATATTTATCTAAAATGAACAGCTTAATCCGTGACTGCAATAGCGGTGTTCGTAGAAGAACTATTGCTGTTTTCGATACTCAATTTTTACCAGGGAGGATAGATCATAAAACCAAGCATACGTTGGTACGCAAATATGTTCGATGTGTAGTCTGAAGTAAGATATCATCGTTGTTTCAGGTCCGGTTGATTCGCAAACAAAACAAACCAAAAGAGGAGCCAAAGAAAGGTGGCAAACCTGCTAGTACGAAAAAAGAAAAGAAGAAGAAGGGCTGCGTGCTGTTCTAGGCGGCCGATTCTGAAAAGAAAGAGGGTTGAAGTATCGAGTGCGGCTTACAAATTATTTCTCCCACCTTCCGTTTCATTATTAAAGTCTCTCGAATATAGAATGTCAATTTAATTGAGGCCTCGGGGTGAAGTTTTTTTTTAAGTGTATTTGAAGTCCTGAGCGTGCGGGCTATTCAATACACTGTGACTTAGATAAATCGATGAAAATATCTCCAGAGTTGAAGCGTAGCGGAACAGAAGCGGCATGTACATTCTTTGCTCTCGGAGTTACTAATCGCTGATGATCGCCATGGACGCCATTACACCACGTACACAAAGTTCAAAAAACCCTCCAAACTTACTGATGCTCGCAAAACTGTATCCACAACTAAAATCCACAACCCGACATACAATTTGAGGTGGAGAATATGGCCACGGTGAAAACTGGTATACCTATTAGATTTCTTAAAAGTTAATAAACTGACGATAAATTTTTGTAATGACTTTATTTCGTTCACTATATACAGAGGTGTTCAGATACTCGCATGTTTAACACTCGCCCACAGACCAGAGGACATGTAGATTAACTGTTTAAATATATACAGCAATTGACGCGAATCATCAAAACGCATGGCACATCTATTGTAATCGCTCCGAATCTATGATCAAATTCAAGTACTAGCAAAGAGCGTAATTATCAACAAACCAACTCATATATTGAATCGAACGATTTGTGCATCACTTTCAACGAAAACAATAACCTCGTATACACTACTTAAAATATAAATCGCCATTGGTCATAATATATTATCGCAATACTCGCAGTAACTTGTATTACGAACGTATACTTTCTAACATAACCATTTCCAGTACTTAAAAGGGCAAATCAATATACCCAACCTTTATACCTCTGGATACATGTCTGGCACTATACAAGTACGAAAACATCTTGGATCATATTTATTGATAAATTGGAGGTTCGAAGTGACAAGATATGAGAAAACTTGCTAGATTAATAAACCATACAGCCAGAAATCTACTGCGTAAAACCTGATTGTGCAGGTGTTGACCAAATAGGCCTACAAAATAATATATATGCAAATTCTAGAATTCCAATCCTTCCTTATCCTTTATACAATCTGGACCACCAGCAATATACATTAGTTAATGCTGTGAAATTGATATCGCGATAACAGGATAACAAAACGAAATTGAATGAAAGTACCTAACTGTGAATAGCCTAATAACTAAAATTGATATCGCGATAACAGGATAACAAAACGAAATTGAATGAAAGTACCTAACTGTGAATAGCCTAATAACTAAAATCAGAGTAGAAGCCACGTTCCTCTTGATCTGTTCCATTTCTACGGCTTGAACTTAGACAACACATGCGTAGTAATATGACTCGTTACGAGATGTGAGGTATTCTCTTGCATGCTTTGGATTGATCGACATACATGTCTATTAAGTATCTAAAAGATGCGTATAAACTATCAAGAAAGCCGAAAACAATTAAATGAACTCTGTTCAAAGCGCGTGTAAAAGATATAAAGTGATATGTAAAAGTTATAATGTGATAAAGTGACTGCAAACTATTCATTTATTTACTTCAATGCTATGACCATGTGTACATTTCAAGAAATACATTTTTTTTTTGAGTCCCCAGTTCTAAATTTAGAATAGAACTATTTGGATAGCCTCCTACTGTGGCCGCCCCTCCCACGAGGTTTTTAGTGTGAGTGTGGTTAGTGGTGCATGTCTACCACAATTCATAGAAATTGTACTAAACCAGTTAGAACATCTTATCGTCAGTTCTTTTTTCTGACAGTAACTAGGTCAATTCATCATGGTAAGCATACCTATGCTTCGTTAATGTGACAATGGTTCTGTTTGAAAATATGCATGCCTGCAGCAAACAAACAATGTAGAAGCACCCTAAGCCATACACCCCGATGAGATAGTATCACACAAAATTTTAGATTTTGTCAGAAGAATCGTAAGGACATGGATGTATGCATCTCAAACAACAGCACATCGGCAACAACGGATTGAAGTTGAGATTAGGTGCACACGAGGAGCACACGGTCACAAATTTGCATGCTAGCTCATACAATATGGAATATTTGAATGATAGTAAGCATTGGAAGTGTGGTTTGCGAACATCACGACATGCCCTGTGTTGGCATATTCACAGGGAGTCTTGCCAGTGAGAATCTTTCTGATAAAGTCTGTACTACTCTCACCCTGAATGCAAAGAGCGGAACGGAAAATGACACGTTGAAAGTTACGTCTTCACATAACCAACATCCTCCAGCACACTTTAGATGGTAGTCCAACACCACCACAGCCAGCGAATAGATGCGTATAAGGTCATGAACTTATGTATGAATGTATTGTGATATTTAGTTAGGCTAACTACAGAGGGGAAATAATTCATCAAAACTCAGCGTTATACTGCTTTCAGATAGCGTTTTATTTATACTCATATGACGGAAGTATTTCATCATAAGTTGGCAACTAAGAAGCAATCTCGATAATATAATTGATTTTAGGTATTTTCCTTCCGGTTTTGCAGGGAGAGGGCACAGCAAGTCTACGGACAAGAAAGTTTTTGACAAACCGACTCCTTCAGCGTAAGCAGATGGTATGTGTTTCTTTCCTCAAGTTATGAGATTTTTGTTATGCAAATTGATGTTTGACCTCAGCAAATATCTCTTTGGTCATGGCGAGTGTACGTAACCTTTTGTACGTATAATCTGGAATATATGCTCTTCTATAATTAAATAGAATAAGCATTCATGTTAATGTAGCTTTGAACGTACTCACTGTAACATTTCACATAGGTTGTCGATGTCATTCACCCTGGGCGCGCCAACGTACCTAAGGCCGAGATCCGTGAGAAGCTCGCGTCTATGTACAAGAGTGAGGCGGAGAACATCTTCACATTCGGTTTCCGCACTGCCTTCGGTGGAGGCAAGAGCACCGGTTTCGCCCTCGTCTACGATTCCCTGGACTCTGCCAAGCAGTTCGAGCCCAAGCACCGTCTAGTTAGAGTATGTTCTGTGACTGTGTGGAGTTTTGATAGGCTAGATTAACAACTGTGTGTGTGCGTGCTCCTTTGTTCAATTGCAAAACACTGAATTGGCGCATATTGTGAAAGAGATACTAGCTAATCATTATATGCAATCGAGTTTTTTTTGTGGCGGGTAGCTCAAGTTTCGTATTATAAGTATTTTTACGCTTCGAGATATAAGATACCTGTATAGAAAATTATGTATTTGTTTAGTATAAGAAATGATACAATATGCCCCCCATCCATATAAAACTAAGCTTTGTGTGTATCTTGCAATGTCCATTGATATTTTAGTTGTGGCTGTTTTGGTTGCTCATTATATCTTGTATGTCGATGTGCAGCAAGGACACGCCGAAGCCCCCACTGGCTCACGTAAGCAGCGCAAGGACAAGAAGAACCGTGCTAAGAAGATCAGAGGTATTAAGAAGGCTAAGCTTACGGCCAAGAAATAGATTAGCGTATATAAATACAGTTAATCTAAGTTCGTGTCCTGCGGAGTTTGATTTGAGAATAAATGTCAGAATCTTAGTAGTTTTTCGTTTTTATCCATGTCGTATGTTCTTTGTTGCTTGTTTTCATTGAACTTGATGTATGTGACAATTGTATATGATATATTTTATTTCAAATGTCCATAAAGTATAGTGTACTCAAGTTAAGGTATATTTTGGTTAGATTATGTTAATTGCTTCAATATTTATACACAGTGTATTTGGTTTGTTCACGAGTATGTCGTGTGGAATAGAGCAATACTTTATTAGCGTAAACTATATCAAACAGAGCTTTCCTGTTACTAGCTACTGGGGATACTACTACAGCGTAGCACAATGTCATCTATTTGTTGTAATAGACTGAGCTAAAATTCTATTCGAGTGGTTCAGTTTGCGTTGTCGGTATTATGTGGTTTTACCAAGCGTCAGTACACCGGACTTGGAGAATTCCCTATTTAGTTATACAGAGATTTGACGTAAGCAATATACGCGTCTCCAAGGCAAGACAGTGGCAGTTCTTCAAAATAGATACATAGCGTAGACTACGAGATGATATGAAAGCGACGCTTATACGGTGCACCTGACAAGCTATTGCTGGTCTCTTATTGGAGTAGTTATATTCATCAACTACATCTCTTAAAGGACATTCGGTTTTTACGTAGAAACATTGCAGTGTTGTATAGACGCTTTAGACCGCGGCGAAAATATGTGTAACGCTAGTTGACCTAAACAATCAACTATGTAGATTAGCGAGACATATCGATAAGACTCAATTGTGGATGGCGACGTCAATCTACATGCAACTACAATCGGCAGCAATACACTGTATTGAAAACTCCAGCCTGATAGGTTTTCTAACTATTCCTGAATTGACGTGTACTGATGGTAGTCTATATTATCGCTACGTATCGTTATCAATAAAGACAATCTGATGCTCATTTGTTGAGAACATAAAATATATGGGATGTACAGTCTATTATACTGCTAAAAATTGAAACTCTTATATTCTGTGTCGCGTAAATGATATCGACCAGTGGAACTGCTTTGTATGCAACAACCGACATCATTGTTTATTCCCGACCTACGTTATATAGCAGTATAATTGTAACTTGGACGAAATACAATATAAAAGTAAGCATCAATATATAAATATATATTGATGTTTAAATATATATATATCTATGTGTGTGTGTGTGTGTACAATATATATATGTATATATATATAAACGTACACAGACCCACAAATATATATATATATATATGTATGTATGTATA